ATTTTGAGATATTTCAAAAAGTATGCTTCCAACCCTCAGTAGCACCCCTTGTCCCGGGTTGCTGGGGATGAAATATTTTTTTAAAATTGAATTAGTACCTAAGTTAACTGTGGTTCAAATATAAATCTGTAGAAACGAGCAGATTTCGAGATATTTCAAAATAATTCAAAAAATATGCTTCCAACCTCCAGTTGCACCCCTTGCCCCGGGTTGCTGGGGATGAAATATTTTTTTTAAAATTGAATTAGTACCTAAGTTAACTGTGGTTCAAATATAAATCTGTAGAAACGAGCAGATTTTGAGATATTTCAAAAAATATGCTCCCAACCCTCAGTAGCACCCCTTGTCCCGGGTTGCTGGGGATGAAATATTTTTTTAAAATTGAATTAGTACCTAAGTTAACTGTGGTTCAAATATAAATCTGTAGAAACGAGCAGATTTCGAGATATTTCAAAATAATTCAAAAAATATGCTTCCAACCTCCAGTTGCACCCCTTGCCCCGGGTTGCTGGGGATGAAATATTTTTTTTAAAATTGAATTAGTACCTAAGTTAACTGTGGTTCAAATATAAATCTGTAGAAACGAGCAGATTTTGAGATATTTCAAAAAATATGCTCCCAACCCTCAGTAGCACCCCTTGTCCCGGGTTGCTGGGGATGAAATATTTTTTTAAAATTTAATTAGTACCTAAGTTAATTGTGGTTCAAATATAAATCTGTAGAAACGAGCAGATTTCGAGATATTTCATAATAATTCAAAAAATATGCTTCCAACCTCCAGTTGCACCCCTTGTCCCGGGTTGCTGGGGATGAAATATTTTTTTAAAATTGAATAAGTACCTAAGTTAACTGTGGTTCAAATATAAATCTGTAGAAACGAGCAGATTTTGAGATATTTCAAAAAATATGCTTCCAACCCTCAGTAGCACCCCTTGTCCCGGGTTGCTGGGGATGAAATATTTTTTTAAAATTGAATTAGTACCTAAGTTAACTGTGGTTCAAATATAAATCGGTAGAAACGAGCAGATTTCGAGATATTTCAAAATAATTCAAAAAATATGCTTCCAACCTCCAGTTGCACCCCTTGCCCCGGGTTGCTGGGGATGAAATATTTTTTTAAAATTGAATTAGTATGTACCTAAGTTAACTGTGGTTCAAATATAAATTTGTAGAAATGAGCAGATTTCGAGATATTTCAAAATAATTCAAAAAATATGCTTCCAGCCTCCAGTTGCACCCCTTGTCCCGGGTTGCTGGGGATGAAATATTTTTTTAAAATTGAATAAGTACCTAAGTTAACTGTGGTTCGAATATAAATCTGTAGAAACGAGCAGATTTTGAGATATTTCAAAAAATATGCTTCCAACTCTCAGTAACACCCCTTGTCCCGGGTTGCTGGGGATGAAATATTTTTTTAAAATTGAATTAGTACCTAAGTTAACTGTGGTTCAAATATAAATCTGTAGAAACGAGCAGATTTCGAGATATTTCATAATAATTCAAAAAATATGCTTCCAACCTCCAGTTGCACCCCTTGCCCCGGGTTGCTGGGGATGAAATATTTTTTTAAAATTGAATTAGTACCTAAGTTAACTGTGGTTCAAATATAAATCTGTAGAAACGAGCAGATTTTGAGATATTTCAAAAAATATGCTTCCAACCCTCAGTAGCACCCCTTGTCCCGGGTTGCTGGGGATGAAATATTTTTTTAAAATTGAATTAGTACCTAAGTTAACTGTGGTTCAAATATAAATCTGTAGAAACGAGCAGATTTCGAGATATTTCAAAATAATTCAAAAAATATGCTTCCAACCTCCAGTTGCACCCCTTGTTCCGGGTTGCTGGGGATGAAATATTTTTTTAAAATTGAATTGGTACCTAAGTTAACTGTGGTTCAAATATAAATCTGTAGAAACGAGCAGATTTTGAGATATTTCAAAAAATATGCTCCCAACCCTCAGTAGCACCCCTTGTCCCGGGTTGCTGGGGATGAAATATTTTTTTAAAATTGAATTAGTACCTAAGTTAACTGTGGTTCAAATATAAATCTGTAGAAACGAGCAGATTTCGAGATATTTCAAAATAATTCAAAAAATATGCTTCCAACCTCCAGTTGCACCCCTTGCCCCGGGTTGCTGGGGATGAAATATTTTTTTTAAAATTGAATTAGTACCTAAGTTAACTGTGGTTCAAATATAAATCTGTAGAAACGAGCAGATTTTGAGATATTTCAAAAAATATGCTCCCAACCCTCAGTAGCACCCCTTGTCCCGGGTTGCTGGGGATGAAATATTTTTTTAAAATTTAATTAGTACCTAAGTTAATTGTGGTTCAAATATAAATCTGTAGAAACGAGCAGATTTCGAGATATTTCATAATAATTCAAAAAATATGCTTCCAACCTCCAGTTGCACCCCTTGTCCCGGGTTGCTGGGGATGAAATATTTTTTTAAAATTGAATAAGTACCTAAGTTAACTGTGGTTCAAATATAAATCTGTAGAAACGAGCAGATTTTGAGATATTTCAAAAAATATGCTTCCAACCCTCAGTAGCACCCCTTGTCCCGGGTTGCTGGGGATGAAATATTTTTTTAAAATTGAATTAGTACCTAAGTTAACTGTGGTTCAAATATAAATCGGTAGAAACGAGCAGATTTCGAGATATTTCAAAATAATTCAAAAAATATGCTTCCAACCTCCAGTTGCACCCCTTGCCCCGGGTTGCTGGGGATGAAATATTTTTTTAAAATTGAATTAGTATGTACCTAAGTTAACTGTGGTTCAAATATAAATTTGTAGAAATGAGCAGATTTCGAGATATTTCAAAATAATTCAAAAAATATGCTTCCAGCCTCCAGTTGCACCCCTTGTCCCGGGTTGCTGGGGATGAAATATTTTTTTAAAATTGAATAAGTACCTAAGTTAACTGTGGTTCGAATATAAATCTGTAGAAACGAGCAGATTTTGAGATATTTCAAAAAATATGCTTCCAACCCTCAGTAACACCCCTTGTCCCGGGTTGCTGGGGATGAAATATTTTTTTAAAATTGAATTAGTACCTAAGTTAACTGTGGTTCAAATATAAATCTGTAGAAACGAGCAGATTTCGAGATATTTCATAATAATTCAAAAAATATGCTTCCAACCTCCAGTTGCACCCCTTGCCCCGGGTTGCTGGGGATGAAATATTTTTTTAAAATTGAATTAGTACCTAAGTTAACTGTGGTTCAAATATAAATCTGTAGAAACGAGCAGATTTTGAGATATTTCAAAAAATATGCTTCCAACCCTCAGTAGCACCCCTTGTCCCGGGTTGCTGGGGATGAAATATTTTTTTAAAATTGAATTAGTACCTAAGTTAACTGTGGTTCAAATATAAATCTGTAGAAACGAGCAGATTTCGAGATATTTCAAAATAATTCAAAAAATATGCTTCCAACCTCCAGTTGCACCCCTTGTTCCGGGTTGCTGGGGATGAAATATTTTTTTAAAATTGAATTGGTACCTAAGTTAACTGTGGTTCAAATATAAATCTGTAGAAACGAGCAGATTTTGAGATATTTCAAAAAATATGCTCCCAACCCTCAGTAGCACCCCTTGTCCCGGGTTGCTGGGGATGAAATATTTTTTTAAAATTGAATTAGTACCTAAGTTAACTGTGGTTCAAATATAAATCTGTAGAAACGAGCAGATTTCGAGATATTTCAAAATAATTCAAAAAATATGCTTCCAACCTCCAGTTGCACCCCTTGCCCCGGGTTGCTGGGGATGAAATATTTTTTTTAAAATTGAATTAGTACCTAAGTTAACTGTGGTTCAAATATAAATCTGTAGAAACGAGCAGATTTTGAGATATTTCAAAAAATATGCTCCCAACCCTCAGTAGCACCCCTTGTCCCGGGTTGCTGGGGATGAAATATTTTTTTAAAATTTAATTAGTACCTAAGTTAATTGTGGTTCAAATATAAATCTGTAGAAACGAGCAGATTTCGAGATATTTCATAATAATTCAAAAAATATGCTTCCAACCTCCAGTTGCACCCCTTGTCCCGGGTTGCTGGGGATGAAATATTTTTTTAAAATTGAATAAGTACCTAAGTTAACTGTGGTTCAAATATAAATCTGTAGAAACGAGCAGATTTTGAGATATTTCAAAAAATATGCTTCCAACCCTCAGTAGCACCCCTTGTCCCGGGTTGCTGGGGATGAAATATTTTTTTAAAATTGAATTAGTACCTAAGTTAACTGTGGTTCAAATATAAATCTGTAGAAACGAGCAGATTTCGAGATATTTCAAAATAATTCAAAAAATATGCTTCCAACCTCCAGTTGCACCCCTTGTGCCGGGTTGCTGGGGATGAAATATTTTTTTAAAATTGAATTAGTACCTAAGTTAACTGTGGTTCAAATATAAATCTGTAGAAACGAGCAGATTTCGAGATATTTCAAAAAACAAAATAACATTAAAAAAAATCCCTCTCCTATACCCCTTGATATAATTTCCCTAAGAATATGGGTTGTTTTTCGCTGATATGTAACTGTAGTAGAATTTTATATAACTAAGTCAAAGTGAGGTAAAATACAATTTCTGTCGATTAAAATATGACCCGACGCCACTGGGCGTTCGGGTATCTTCGGAAAATTTGGCTACTATCTTTTGCCACCAACTTCACACCGGTTTTTATTCCATACGATCCCAAAAATAAAAAGGGCCCCAAAGGGAAACTTTACACAAAATACATCAACACAAAATCACCATTAAAACTAGCAAATGCTAGTATTGAGCCAATTATTTCAGACAAAGAAAACGACCGAGAAAACAACCAGGTTAATAATTCATTATCTCCCAGAAAAAATCAAATACAGCAGGACCATTTGGAATTTTTGAAGGTAGCGACGGAGCCTATAACCCGAATTTTTGAATCTTGGGAATCGTCCTTTAAATTGAGAAGGAAATTATATGTCAATGCACCTTTAAAAACTATTTTTGACGATTTCCCATGTATCAAATTAAATTGTGGCCTAGAACTGGTAAGTATTTTTTTAAATATGATTACTTCAATAGCAATAAATGCTTTCCTAGAAAAATATATGTTTCTATTATTTCAGATTGTAACTGATTTCAATCAAAGATATCCAGAAAAAATCGACTCAATTTACAGGAACTGGCAGAATGTTTGTAGTTCCGTTCTCCAGGAGATCAAAGAAAGAAAAATAAATGATTTATGCGTTGGTGAGACAAATGGTAAGTTTCACTTTGATGTTATCGTACCCAGTCTCAACCAATCGGAAACAGTATTTTTATCTTAAACATTCCATTCCTTAAAACACACTTCCCCTCGAAAACTCGTCTTCTACTTGTCCTAAAACTACTGGTTTTCTAATATTTTCCTGAATTTTTAGATAAATCGGCGCAAACCATCCTTCTACTACCTTATTTATTTAATCCAGTAACAATAAAAAAATCTAGGAAAGGCAATGCCTGGCGTCCCAGCAGAACTGAAGTTCAGGAGAGCTTCTTCTTCCATTTAACGGTAATAAATTGGAGAGCAATATAATGGTTGAGTTTTTACATCTTTTTTTTTTTCAATAATAGGATTTAAATGAGTTAGAGGCACGATGTATCAGAAGAAAGGAGAAGCTGGCGAGCCATAGTCTTCCCTTACAACCCTTTGGAGTAATTTTGGGCCATTTGAAGGACCCCAAATATATAATCATCATCGATGAAGTGCAGTATACCGTCGATAATGGGGTAAGAGCGTTAGAGCTTTTGTTTAAGCTTTTTTATGGACTAGATATAGAATATCCACCGGAATGCCAACATGTTTGGTATTTTATAGAGGAGTTGGTCTTCAATATGCCTATTAAGCGATCTTGCCCATCAACATCAACTGTGGTAGCAGATATATTATACCATTTCCCAAAATAAACTTTTCGCTTGTTAAATCCATTCCATTTATATTATATTTTTTTTCCAGAGAAATATCTTGATTAATTTCGGTTTTTAAAAACTGTTTTCAGAATGCCTAAATGTAGTTTTTGTGGCTTATCATATTTTAAAGCCAATGCATTAATTACCCACTTAAAATATATTCATCAGTGCCAAGAAAATTCCGTTTTTCACTGTGCTGAAACAAATTGCAACAGAAGTTTCCCCCTTCTAAAATCATATCGGAAACATTTATCTAATCACACAGATTCAGTAAACAATATTGGAACAAATGTTAAAAACATTAGTACAGATACTAAAATTCAACCAAGTCATAATTTATTAGCTGTCGAAACTGCAGAAAAGCGTGAAAGCATAACTATTCAAGAAAATTCAGAAAAATCTGAGCCTAATCAGCAGAATAACTTTTTAACTTTTAAAGATAAACTTTATGAAAACAATGTGATTTTTATTAGCAAGCTGTACGGCGAAGCTTCATTTTCCAGAAAAGATATTCAGAAAATTATGAATGTTATTAATAATTTACTTTTTGAGCCAATGAATATTTTTGAAAAATCTTTAAAACAAATATTAGAAAATCACAACCTTAAGGATGAAATATTTCTTATAAACAGGTTTTTTGGAGAATTAAATAACTTGTTTAAAGGTTTCGAAACTGAATATTTAAGATTTAAAATTCTAGAAGACTCTAAATTATTTATTAAACCCATATCATTTTCTGTTGGTGAAGGTGTAGAAACCAAAAACTCTATTCTCATAAAAAAAAAATACACTGCCGAGTTTATACCCCTCTCAGATGTTTTAAAATGCTTTTTCTCAATGCCAGGTGTTTTGAATGAGATGATTAATTACATTGAGCATTTAAAACACCAAGAATCAGTTAGTAATATAATTCAAACCGACTTTTGGAAAAGCAAAGTATCAGATTTCAAAGACAATGCTTTAGTTTTCCCATTGTTTATTTATTATGACGATTTCGAAAGTGGAAACCCCCTTGGGTCTCATTCTGGAATTCATAAATTGGGGGCAATTTATTGTTCGGTAGCATGCTTACCTCCTAAGTATCGTTCCCAATTGGAAAATATTTTTTTACTGACCCTATTCCACACTTCAGACCTGAAAGAATTTGGTCCTTCAGTTATTTTTTCCCCAATGATAAATGAATTGAATTTCCTTCGAACTGAGGGTATAACTGTTGAACTTCCAAGAGGAAAATCTCACATATATTTTAACACAATTTTATTCTTAGGCGACAATCTAGCACTTGATACCATATTGGGATTTCAAGAAAGTTTCTCTGCAAATTCCTTCTGCAGGTTTTGCAAAAGTTTAAGAAAAGAAACTCAAAGTGCCACATTTGAAAATGAAAAGAAAATGCGCAACCGCCAAAAAAAAGACTTGGTAACAAATTATCCTTATCTGACAGGAGTAAAAATCGATTCCGTATTGAATAAAATAAAATCCTTTCATGTAACTGATAACTTTTCAGTTGATATTGCCCACTTTTCAGTTGATATTGCCCACGACATCTTAGAAGGGGTTGCTGGAGTAGTAATGGCAAGGTTGTTAAATCAGTTTATTTTTGTTGAAAAGTATATGGACATAGAAATGTTAAATAATAGAATAAAATATTTTAATTATGGCCCCAATCACAACAAACCTCCGCTTATTTCAATTGAGTATTTGAAGAAAAATACTTTAAAAATGTCAGCTTCTGAAATGAAAACTTTTGTTTCAAATGCAGGGCTTATTTTTGCTGAACTAATTCCAACAGAAAATAGGCATTAGAAACTCTACGTTTTGTTGAGAAAAATATTTTCTATTCTCTTTAAAAATTTTATCGATGAAAACATGATTCATGAATTGAAATGTTTAATTCATAAACACCATTCCTTGTTTTTGGATCTTTTTCAGGAAACACTTAGACCCAAATTCCATTTCATGACGCATTACCCTTCAATTCTTAAAAATTCAGGACCTCTACCAAATTTAGCAACTCTCAGATATGAATCAAAACATCGCCGATTTAAATTATCAGCTAATGTTATAAATTCTCGAGTAAACATAACAAGTTCCTTGGCTACAAAACACCAACTACAATTATCTTTCAGATTTTCGTCTCAGAAAGGTTTAAATAATACTATATCTTATACAGCTGTACGAGAATATATGAGTTTTTCCGAAATTGTACGTGAATACAAAATTGAAAAATCAGTAATTTCAAATCATGAAAATGGTTCTCATTTTGCAAATGAACTAACATCCACCAAAAAAGTAATGGTTAATTCAAAATTCTATAGAATAAATGATGTTCTGTGTACAAATTCTCAGAATAATACCTTTGTTATTATTAAAAATATTATTATAAATAGAGAAGATGTTATAATGTTTATTTGAGTTATGTACACTCTATACATGGCCTCTTATGGATGAGAACCGTAACAACAATCCGACTTCGAGCGACCCACACGATTATTACTGCTGACTTTACATTTATACCATTTTATTTAAGCCATTGTAACGGATGAAAATTCGTCTTTATTCATTTGTATTTCGAGTAATAAAGTCCCTGCTTTTAAAAGTTTGTTTTTTAAAAAGTAACTTGCCCTAATCGAACCTAAAATTGGCGCAGTCGGTAGGATTTGCCAAAACGTCGCGTTATCGTCGAGACAAAAATCGCTCGTAATTTCGCAAAAAGTTCCGTTTACGGTTAATTTGGCAATCATCGTGGTTCCGGGCAACAAACGGCGAAAATCAAACTGAAGCAGTAACTGGTGGAGGACCACATCGCCAAGACCAGCTAGTTTAAGAAATCTAGGGAGTTGAAGACAAAAATCGCTTCTTTCCTCTTGGAACAGTAGTTAAGTGTAGAAAATAAGTGAAATAAATGCTACAGGAATGAAACAAATCATTTTTCTATTAATGTAAGTAAATTTTAAGTTTATTTTTATAGATTTTTGCTCATTTTTTATAAAGTCACTATTTTTTCTTTTTGCTTTTTAACGATTTATGTCTGATTCTGAAGACGAAATCGAAAATATCATAAATAGATTTAATTTAATTAATTTTCAAACAACAAATCATAATAATCAACAACCAACTTTGAATTTACCAAATAATACAATGCCTAACCAAAATCAACCAATCAATTACCAATTGTTACGTTTGTATGTGGACACTATTCCTCCTTATGATGGAGATCCGCACACATTAACCATTTTCATCAATAATTGCAGTTGTCTTATTAGTAATTTCCATCGTGACAATGACGATGTTCACAACAGCTTTATTGTGAGAGCAATAATTGGGAAATTATCAGGTCGAGCCCTCAGCTTAATTGGTTCTCGAATTAACGAATTAAAAACTTGGAACGATGTAAAATTTGCTTTAGAGTTAAGTTTTGGTGATCAAAGAAATTTGGATTGCCTTGTTCAAGATTTAATCACGCTATCACCTAATAAAACCGAAACACCTTATAATTTTGGCATGCGATGCCAAGACGCACGTTCTTTGGTATTCTCAAAATTAAACTCATTGAATTTAACACAAGACGAACTTGACATCAAAACTCAAAACTATAACGATCTTGCCTTAAAAACATTTATAAGAGGTTTACCAGGTCAGCTACAAAATAATATCCGTTTACGAGACCCTATAAGCCTTGAAAAAGCAATGTCTCTCGTGATTGAGGAAGAAAACTTCTTATACAGCCAAAGTCGTAATAATTTACTTAACTTTCAAAACTTCAGACTAAACCAGAGAGTTACTCCTGCTAATAACAATAGCAGCAATAATCACCCTCGTAACAAAAATATTAACTACCAAAATAACCAGCAAACAAATCTCGCATTTCAGAGACCACCATTCAATAACAATCACAGGCCATTTGGTTTCCAATCATCAGGACCAAATACATTTTATCCAAGACCAAATAATACATTCCAATTCAGACCAAATACATTCCAACCCAATTATTCACAATTTAGACCCAATTTCCAAAGACCATTTTTCTCTGGCCAAAAACCGAGCCAAATAATTCGAAATAATCAATTTCGACCACCTTTCAATAATCCCAATCAAAACAATCAGAATAAACAGAAACCCGAGCCAATGGATACTTCATCTGGCAACACAATGATTAACAATCAAAGACAACAACCCAAATATACATTCACAGAATTAAACCAACAAAGTATTGAAAATAATCCTTATGATCCAAGTCAATACTTTGATTATCAAAATATGATGAGTCATGCCGATAACTTTGATTATTCATATTTATACCAAAACGATCAAGATCAAAATTTCGATCCAAATGACCAATATTCTTTTGATAATAATTATTATCCTTCTAATGAAGAAATGCCATATAATACTTATAACCCATACGCAGAGTGCAACAATGTAAGTAACTTACAACAGTCTGAAATTTCGACAGCCAGCACTTCTCAGGAGGAAGCTGATGAATTAAATTTTCATATAATCACATCCAACAACAAAGTAACTTAATTAACTTGAACGTGACCGCAGCAAATTTGCCTTATCTGTACATCCCTGAAATAAAAGCAAATATCTTAATAGATACAGGGAGCACTAAAAGTTTGCTGTCTTCGAAAATAGTTAATAAATTTTACAGAAATTATACTTTTCAAGAAGAATTTCAGATTCAAACACCTCACAATATTTCTTATCACGACCAAGCAGTATTAATACCAAGTTTTGATATTTTTAAAGACAAGAATAAGCATAAATTCTTTGTTTTTGATTTTAGCAAAAAATATGACGGACTGATTGGCATTGATTTGTTAGCACAACTACAAGCTGTATTGGATGTTAACAAGAAATTATTAATCACTCCGATTGTAAAAATACCAATTATTTTTGAATTGGAAAAAATTAATACAAGTAAAAGAATAAGTAACTTTAATTGTTCTATAACTATTCCTGCTAGAACACAACAAGTGGTAAAACTGCCAGTCAAGTACGAAAAAGGTCATTGCATTCTAAATTATATTAAATTCGATGAACAAATAGAGTCACCAGAAGCTATTACTAATATCGAAAATTATTTTGCAACAACAACCATTATTAATTCTAGATCAGAACCAATAACTATCAAAATAACTGCACCTTTTAATTCAGAATTACTGAATGTTAACGAAATCAATTTTATAGAAAAAATGGAAGTTGACGACGTTATTGAGGTTGACCCTTCCAAAGATAATCTACTGAAAGCTAATCTTAAGAATCTCAGATAACAACATTGCAATTCCGAAGAAAATAAAGCTATAAGAGATTTATGTTTAGAATTTAGAGATATCTTTTATTGCGATAAAATCCCTCTAGCATTCACCAATCAAATTCAACATAAAATCAATTTAACTGATGATACCCCAATCTTTACTAAGACGTATCGTTATCCCGAAGTCCATAAGGCAGAAGTAAAATCCCAAATTCAGAAAATGCTTGATCAAAACATCATACAAGAATCATTTTCACCATTTTCTAGTCCTATATGGATAGTTCCAAAAAAATTGGACGCTTCCGGTAAACGTAAGTGGCGTTTAGTAGTTGATTATAGGAATTTGAACTTACGAACGATAGATGACAAATATCCACTTCCGAATATCAATGACATCCTTGATAAATTAGGCAAAAGCCAATATTTCTCCACTTTAGATTTGGCCAACGGATTCCATCAAATTGAAATGCATCCTGAGGATATTCAAAAAACCGCTTTTTCGACTGAGAATGGTCATTACGAGTACAAGCGTATGCCCTTCGGTCTAAAAAATGCCCCCTCCACATTCCAACGAGTAATGGACAATATCCTTAGAGGTCTCCAAAACGAGGAATGTCTAGTTTATCTTGACGATATTGTCGTCTTTAGCACATCCCTTCGTGAACACATTAGTAGATTGAGAAACATATTTCTTCGACTACGTCAAGCAAATTTTAAGGTCCAACTTGACAAATCGGAATTCCTTCGCAAAGAAGTAAGTTATTTAGGACACGTTATTACACGTGATGGTGTCAAACCAAATCCAGACAAAATTGATGCGATAAAAAAATTCCCGATACCTAAAACACCCAAGGAAATTAAGAGCTTTCTAGGCCTTGTCGGTTACTACCGAAAATTCATTAAAGACTTTGCACGTATCACAAAACCTTTAACTAAGTGCCTCAAAAAGACCGAAAAAGTAATTCATGATTCAAATTTCATACTAGCCTTCGAAACATGCAAAAATTTATTGATCAACGCACCAGTACTTCAATATCCTGACTTCACCAAGCCATTTGTTTTAACAACAGATGCTTCGAATGTAGCCTTAGGAGCTGTTTTGTCCCAAGGACAAATCGGATCTGATAAGCCAATTGCTTTTGCATCCAGAACCCTGAATGACAGTGAAACACGATATAGTACCATTGAAAAAGAATTATTAGGCATAGTTTGGGCTTGCAAGTATTTTAGGCCATACCTTTTCGGCCGAAAATTCACAATATATACTGATCATCGACCTCTAGTTTGGTTATTCACAATGCGTGAACCCAGTAGTAAGCTCATACGCTGGAAACTTAGATTAGAAGAATTTGACTTTACCATTGTGTATAAAAAAGGAAAACTCAACGTAAATGCTGATGCTCTTTCAAGAATTCAAATCAATACCCTCGAAAATAAAATTGATACAGAATCAATGATCAATAATCCAGGCGATATAGATCTAGACCAACAAAATACCCTTGAGTATTTACGAAATCTTGCAGAGAGTTTTTCAACATACGATATT